TGTAAAACCATTGGTCGCAGCCGTACTCTAAGCACTGGTACGGCGGCGTCGGCGCACGCGGTGCGGTGCAGCCGGCTCTGCGGCGGTGATTTTTAAAACACTTGCCCCGTCTGAATGATTTGCCGCAATCGGCGCACGCGTATCGCCAGTGACCAGTGTTGGCGGCCTGTGATGGCTCGGCGGTCGCGTCGGCAGTATTCACGACAACAGCGTTATCATCGGTGGCAGCGGTGGTGGTGGCGATGGACGGCCTGTTTGTGGCCACAAATAATTAGATTTACGAGACATACGTAATATAAATGATCAATGAATGCAATGAGTATTGATATTTAAAAAACATTTTTTAAAAGTGTAACAAGTTAAACAACAAACAAATTAAGTTTAAACTTTAAACATAAATTAAAATATTTAAGACTAAATGTCGATTAAAATAATTAACTAAATAAAAATTAAAAACATAAATTAAATTAGAGAAAAAATACCACAAAACATAAATTAAGAAAAAACAATCACGATTAATTAAATTTTAAGTATAAATAAACTAATCATGTTCAATACGATACCTATGATGAGGATTGTTGGCCGAGAATAACGACAGGTCAGAGAGCGATGGCATCGGCGGCACTACCGGATCGCTGAAACCACAGGTGAGCACAGGTAAGTGTGGGAGGGGTTGGGCGGCGGCGGCAATGGGTGTATTGTTTGGCTGCAAAACGCCATCGTTAGTCGTAATGTGATTGCAATTAAACTTATGCAAAACTAATCTCTCGCGAGTGGCATATTGTCTGTCGCAACTGTCATAATCGCACGGGTAGGGCAACGGTACGCCGTGACAGTTGTGATTATGTAGTAAAAGGTGCTCGGGTTTTATGAAATACTTGTTACACTCGCGGCACGGGTTGGCCAGCGGTGTGTGACAGTGGCTGTTGAGCTGTGATTCGGTGTAAAACCATTGGTCGCAGCCGTACTCTAAGCACCGGTACGGCGGCGCCTCTGCACCCATTGAGGTACAGCCGACTTTCAGTCGGTGTTTGTCGAGACTGTGGCGCTGTCTGAATGATTGGCCGCATTCGGTGCACGCGTATCGCCAGTGACCAGTTATCCTGGTCTGTGATGGCCCGACGGCGGCCGCGCCGGCAGTATTCATTACAGCGTTATCATCGGTGGCAGCGGTGGTGGTGGCGATGGACGGCCTGTTTGTTTGGCCACATATACGTCATACAAGGGGTAAATGAATTCAATGAGTATTGATATTTAAAACAAATATATTTAAACCATAAAAACATTTAAACAAAAAGTGTAACAAATTAAACAAAAAAACAAATTAAGGTTAAAAATAAAATTTCATTTTATTTAAAAGCAAACACTAAATTAATACCAGTTTAAACATGCCGTGTGTTTAACTAAATGTTGACTAAAATAAATAACGAAATAAAAACTTAAATTCAATAAAAATTAAAGACAAAAAATACTACATTAATAAATTGCAAGAAAACAAAAACAATGAATATTAATAAAATTTAAAGTATAGAATAAATCAATCATGTTCAATACGACACCTATTATCAGTGTTAGAGAGCACTGGCATCGGCGGCACTACCCGAACGCTGAGCCCAATGGACAATAGACTGGGCGGCGGTAACGGCGGCGGAACTAACCGACCGGTGGGTATCTTATCGCTGGCCGTCGAGGCGATGGTGTCGAGCGCTGGAATTGTTTCGCTGATA